ACACCGTATGGGGCAGATCTGCTCTTATCTGCAAATTCCCTACAAGTAAGGATTGGCCAGATGGCAGGAGGTTTGGTTTGGAGGTATGGGAAATGTAATATGTATATATAGATTGGATATGGGTATGGGTATAGCTATAGATGTAATAGGAAGGTGATGTAAAAAGCATCACTAAAAAGTATTTATGTGTGCAAAAATGTCAACATATGAAGCTATGGTTTCTCAACATGCTCTTCATGCCGGCCCATCTGCCCAAAAGGCAATGTCTCCAACTCCTCCAACCCTTCTTCTGAAGAATTGTAAATTTGAATTCTACACGAAAGCAGCAGTTCAGGGATCTGCAAGGGGCTCACACTGTGTTCACTTAAATTTTTCTTCAAGATTTGGGAACAAAATAAAATCACCCAAAGGAGCAAGAGCACAACTTTCGAGTGGATAAAGATCTCTCAATGAGAGTCTTGTAGGGCAGCCCTTGCTAGCCTTGAAAAATGAGCAGGTACATTGTTTTGATTAAAAACAAACCAAAAAATTCTTCAGTAGAACTTTCCTGGCTTTTTCTAGCCAACACAGCTGTCCATTTTCTTAAAAGTTCTTCATAATATGCCCCTATGGGCCATCCTGTGTTTTTAGCGAAATCTATAGGAAAAAAAAATCTCTCAAATGTACACCTTGGGAGTCAACCAAAGAGTTGCCATAATTTTCAGAACTGAACTCTGTTCTTTAATTGGCCCGGCAGATCCCCTTGGCAGCCTCTCTTTTCATGGGAGCTTGTACTCTGGATTATATTGGGAAATGAAGACTTGTGCCTAATGAAAATTCATTCTACAACATTGTTTTCATTAGCTTTGCTCTTGCTTGAAAGACTAATGGGAAGATCAGGCCTCTGAATTATCTGTTCTTCATGCAGCATGTTTCACATCCCTCAAGCAAAAAACTTCCCGAAGAGAAGATAGTAGTTTGAAATTGAAAAAGGCAAGACTTGTAAGATCTCAAATTCAGTGGCAATCGCATTAATGATCATTCTATGGTCTCCCACTAGTTTCTGAACTTTAGCCACAGTCTCTTTGTTTTTTCTTGGTTGTTTATTTGTTCTCCTTCTCTCTCTCAACTCATATTTGATCTTCCTTCAAACATTTGCTCCATCTGATCCATCTAAAGACTGTCATCTTTTGTTGGGCAGTATTACTGTAAGTTTGTTGCAAATCTTATTGATGTGGGAGGTTGTTCACTTGAGTTTCATTGATATTTTGATATTTACCTTGAACTCCAAATCATTTTTTGCCCAGGGGACTAAAACTATCCTTTCTTTTTAAGGCATCTTAATGAGACTAAGAGAAATTTATTACTGAATTTTGTCCAAAACATTTGAAGATAACTTGTTCACAGCTATCCATTGACTGAAGAGAGATGTTTAAACATATTTTATTTGGCATAAACCTGTTCATGCAAAAATGGAACCCTACTGGCAATATTTCTCACTTACTTTCTTAAATATTAAAAGAGCTTAAGAAACATATGAATTTCTTTCGACTTAACAGTTTTTATAGAACCTCATACAATAGAAATTAGGCAGAAGACATTTATAGAGGTATAAACATAGGCATTCACATGTGTAAATATATTAATATATAATGATAGTGATATAGGTCTATGTACATATATTTATAGGTTAAGTATTAAGGTAGCAGCCGGACATTGGGCCTCTACTCAAGTCCTCCCTCAATGCAAGAACACTTTGTTCTAATAACCTGGCATTCTGTGATGCTCACCTTCCCGACACGCTCGCTAAAGACAAAAAGTACCTAAGCTAAGGTGGTGAAGAAAGCTGATGGTGTCTGGCTATTACAAGGTATAGTGTCTGGGGTCTTAAAGACTTGGAGTTAAAAATCAAACAGCCATTTGGCAGGGAAGCAACAGAGCCCACATGGAAGAAGCACACCAACCTGTGTGATCACAAGATATCCACAGGATCAGGTATCAGAAGAGCCAAAACAAACAACTATTTTGATGCAAATGAGGGGGGGGGGTCAGAATGGAAACCCAAAGCCCATCTGTAGACAATTGGACATTCCTTCACAGAAGGGTCACAAGGAAGGGAGGAGCCAGCCAGTGTGTAGTAAAAAACTGAGGAACACCCCCCCACCGCCATTATCATGACCCCAGTTCTATCTTACAAATCCAGCTAGACAACAGCATGTACACTGGTACAGATAAGAGCTCTCGACACACAGAAACTAGAACAGACAAACTCCTCAGGAACAGTAATGGAAGTAGGGAAACCATGAGGGCAGGGGGAAGGTGAAGGGAGAAGGGGCAGAAAGGGGGAATGGATAGTAACGATCGATGTACAACCCCACCCCACCCCACCCCAGGGGGATGAACAACAGAAATGTGGGTGAAGGGAGACAGTGGACAGTGTAAAATATGAACATAAAAATAATTTATGTTATCAAGGGTTTACGAGGGTGGGAAAAGGAAGGGTGGGAAAAGGAGGGGAAAAGAGGAGCTGATACCAAGGGCTCAAGTAGAAAGAAAATGTTTTGGAAATGATGATGGCAATATATGTACAGATGTGCTAGATACAAATGATGTATGGATTGTTATAAGAGGTATACGAGCTATCAATAAATGATTTATTAAAATAAATAAGTAAATATTCTGTTTAAAAAGAAAATATTCATGGCATGCAAATTTTTGCATTTACCTATAGATGTGTTGTTTACTGAGGGCTGTTTATCACAGAGGCCAACATAGATATAGTGAAACAAATGTGATAAAGTTGCATGACAGAATCTTAAGCAACATATAAAAAGTAATTGTACCAGAATAGTTAAAGTGAAAAGCGGTTCATAATTAATATAGTGTAATATGAAAATAAAAATGGAAAATTCAGAAATATTTACAATATGTGTAATATAAACGTGTGTATACATGTGAATTACATAATGGAATTATATACATAAAATATAATCAGTGGACACTGATAGTATTGATTTTTTTATATGTAGTTCTTTATTTCTAGCCTTATTGTACCTGTAAAGATTTTGCATTAAAAAATCATGTTATTACTTAATAAAGAACAAAGATTTTTTTAATTCATAAAGTAACAATCTATTTGTACATCAACTGCGGTGCTCCTTGTCACACTGTCAATAATAAACATACAAAAATGACATTAAAATTCCAAAATACTGCAATAAAATATTTTCTTTAGACCACTGTTTTTAGTAGGAATGAAAAATTTAAGATCAAAACTTTTAAGATTTTAAAAATATGATGACAATAGATACATGATGTCCTCAAGCTCATCTGAGCACTGTTCTGAACATTATAAAACTGTAATAATGATAGTGTATGTCATTTCTCTAGTGGTTAGAGACAACATAAACTTACCTGGAATACATATTGTGTTGAATATTGAAGATCCCTTTCAACAAAGCCACAATTAGTTTTATTCTGGCTTCTAACTATGTTATTGCTACTTAATACAGTCAAATGGTAAAGTAATTCAGGGCCATTTGGGTTATCAGGACGTTGGCAAGTCACATTCATACTGTTATCTGAAATTGGGTTGACAGCCATGTCTTTGACCATGTCTGGTTCTATCGAAGGAAGAAAAAAGAATTTTATTAGTTTAGGACATGCATATTTAAATTATCCATCAATAATTGAGTACACTGTAAAGTCATTTAAGTATTCGGAGTAAGTTACAGCAATAAAAAAAATTATACCAAACTTTTAAAATGAAATTACCTATTTATTCTGTAAATGTTAGCACATAGATTGTAGTTGATCTTGTGAGAGTTTATGCACTCTTCTATGGGAAATATATTTATTAGTAAATAGGAAAATATGACAGATGATAACATAATGGAAGAGACAGGATAGGGTAGGAAAGTGGAAAAGAGAGGGTAGGGAAGAGGAGAGGAGAGGGAAGTGGAGAGGTGAGCAGAGGGTAGGGAAGAGTAGATAAAGGGAGAGCGGTGAACAGGAGAGGAGAGGAGGAGAGAGGGGAAGGGAGGGGACGGGAGTGAGGAGAGGAAAGGAGAGTAGGGAAGAGGAGAGAAGAGCAGGGAAATGGAGAGAGGAGGAGGAAAAGACGATGGTTGGAAAACCTCTAAAAGTAGATCAAGAAGACTGAGCAGCCACAGCCAGGTGAGTACAAGAAATTGTAAGAGAAATCCCGAGGAGAGTCAAGTATTCTAAGGAGCTATATACACTGTATGTTGCAGAAGGCTCATATAAACTGAGCTCTAAGAGGTCTTTGATTGGGTAACAAATTAATAAGCCATTGTTTGTCCTTGGTGAAATCGGCCTTTAGTGGCTGATGGAGGGGTGCAATATGTCTGTTTACAGTGAGAGTGAGGTCAGAGATCGGGCACACTGAGTGTAGACTAGAATCTTGGTCATGACGTGATATAACACAAATAGCAGTCGTCAATGAGTTAGTGATGAATCATGTTCATTGCATGTGTGTAGGAATAGAATTGTGCTCCAGAGGGTATTCAACCTTTAAAATGTCCTTTTTCTGTAACAACTAAAATGTTTAATTGGCATATAATTCACATATTATACAATTCAATAAATATCTTAAGAAGAGTTGTACAGTCATCACCACAATCAATTTTAAAACGTATTCTTCTTCCTTGTGATCATTGTCATCACCTTCCCATTTCCCCCACTCCCCTGCCATCCCTTCCAGAACCCTTCAAGGCAGTCACTGTCTCCATAGCTTTACCCATCCTAGATCTCATATACAGTAAAACACATAAACAAACACTAGACCATAATAAAACATAGAAAAACCTCAATTGAGAAGAAAGCATAAAGTATTAAAAATTAGAGGCTATTTGAAATAGGTGAGAAAGGGAGATCATATGATAAAGTGTTAGTTTTTAACCTAATAGCAAGTACAATAAGCCACTTTCTACTACATTCTACAAGGCTATTCACAGCCCTGGTCTATGGTCAGAAGGGAGTCACCGTTGGCTTAATCCATGTGTGGACCCTGCAAATCGATTTTGGGTTTCAACTGTCTTCCATGGCCTTCTGCCAACCAGATATCTATCTTTCACAATTTAAGCTCTAATAGTATTGCCTTCTTCAGGTTTGGGTTATTGTTTACAATCCTTGGATCATACTGGCAGGTGAGCTTCTTCCATGTGGACTTAGTTGTCTTCTTACATAGATGGCTGCTTGTTTGAAGATAAGCCTTTAAGATTCCAGATGTTATTCTTTTTGATAGCTGGGCACCAAGTAGTTTATTCACCATACTTAGCTATAACACTCAGAGCAATAGCTCCACGAAGGTGTGCATTAAGCAAGGTCATGTCATAAGCATTAACTGTTCTTAGATTGGGGCTAGAATTACCGGTAAACTCCAAATCCATTAACACATCTGTGGTTTCTATGGGGCCAGAATTAAGTGTGAGCTCCAAATTCATTCATCAATTTATGGATTATATATGTTTCTGGTTCTTTTCAGTGACGTAATTATCATTTTATGCTAGAGAATATGGTCCATCATTCCCTTGGATATAAAGTCATTTCAATGGCTAACTTTTCATAATTAGAGCCTCAGACCTTTCTTCCGAGGTACCTCTGGGCATGAACTTTCAGTCTTTCAGCTAGCAGTCAACCACATGAACCCATTGACACCATCCTTAAGCAAGGAACACATTTCTTGCTAACAGGAGGGAGATTAAATTTCCAGAAGGCACATGCCCATGTCTCATACATTTTCCCTTTAGCACACAGTCACTGAGTACCAGTTGTGTTAGATACGATGCTGTTTTGCTGCTTCTATCCTCACGGAACTTGCTGTTGGGGGGGGGGGTGTCAGTTCTGTCCGTCAGTTCCTATGCACAACAAAAGGAAACACTGCGCAGACCTTCACCACCCTCCGAGTTGTGATATTTGAACATATTCTTGCAGGCATTCAGTTATTGTGTCAATTCATCTCATCGGTCTTCCCCTTTCTCAATGACCTTTACTACTTATACTTTTCCAGAGACTTCTCTCTCCTGATAATGTATCCCAAGTATGTGAGACAAAACGTCACCAATCTGAATTGTAAGGAGGGTTCTGGTTTCAATGTGTCAGAGATAGATTTGTTTGTTCTTCTGGAAGTTCACAATACTTTCCATATTCTTCACCAACAACATAATTTAAATGCATCCGTTCTTTGTCCAACTTACACAAGCCTGTGCAGTGACTGAAAAGGCCCTCGTTTGGGTCCAGTGCACCTTAGTCAGCTGGCCGGGTACTTGGCTTCCAAATGTCTTGGCAGAGATGAGTAAGTACTTCCAGTGCCTCATCAACTTGTTGAAACATCAATTCTTCTGTAGTCTTCCTTATTAATTTTCCAACTATAAAATACCTATAAGCAATACCATGGCATATGTCAGGGACACCTTAGCCTTCAAAGTGCTATTTTTTTTAAATTAGCAGTTTTAAAGGAATTTTACAAACGATTTCCCAATGCAATATGTAATGTGATTTCTTGACTGCTGCTTGCTTGGGTATTGATAGGTGGTTGAAGTACAATGAACCCCTGGATAACCTCAGTCTTTTTTTCATTCATCTTGATTCTGCATATTGGTTCACTTGTTGTTGCTATTTTGAAGTGTAATCCATAGTGAAGGCTGTAGTCTTTGATATCCATCAGTGAATGTTTTCAGACTTCTTTCTGCCAGCAGACAAGCTTGTACCATCTGCATAGCATTGATACCACATTCTTCGGTACACAATCCAGTTTCTCACATGATTTATTCTGCCATCAGAGTAAATATAGGGAAAGGATACAACTCAGATGCAGACCTTCCCTGATTTAAAATCTTACAGTATCTCCTTGTTCTGTTTGAACAACTTGCCTACTGGCTTATACACATGACCCACATGAAAACAATGACGTATTCAGGAATTACTGTTCTTTACAATGTTATCCACAGTTTGTTACAATCCACACAGTTGGATGTCTATGAAATACAGGTAAATGTCTTTGTGGTCTTCTCTACTTTCCCTGGTGATCCATTTCATGCCAGCCAGAAGATTTCTCCTTCCATGCCTTCTGAATCAGAATATGACTAAGCTTGCTGAAAGTTCCTTGTTGATGTCGTCTTACAGCTGCTCTTTTTGAATGATCTTCAGTTAAATTTTACTTGGGTGTGATACTAATACTATTTTTTTCAAGAACTTATCCAACTTTCTGTTGGATCACCTTTCTTTAATTTCTTATCCCAGTAGAGTATGCCATACAGTAGTTTGATTCAAAATGGCCAATACCAATCCATTTCAGTTCACTAATGGCTAGGTTATCAATGTTCGAGACTTTCATTTCACTTTTGATAACTTCCAATTTTCCCAGATTTATACTTTGTATAGTCCATGTTCCGGTTAGTAATGGATGCTCATGGCTGTTTCTTCTCATTTTGAATACTGCTGCTTTAGCAAATGAAGGCCCTGAAGGTTCAGTTCCATCCATGCCATTAAGATGAACTCTACTGTGAGGAGGCAGCTCTTCTGTTTTATGTTGTGCACATTCCAACCAGAGGGGCTCATATTCCTGCATTATGCCAGATGATGTTTTGCTGCTACGCATGAGATTTTCACTAGCAGAAGTCTATCACTAGATTCTACATTCAAGTCTGTCTTAGTCTAGAACCTTGGCTGAAACCCACCCACACATCATGGGTGATCCCATTGGTATCTGTAATATCAATGACATAGCTTTCAGTCACACAGCAACATGCAAGCCATGACAGTACAAAAAACAGACAAGTGGTGGAATATGAACTTCAATGATTTTCCCAAGTAAAACATAAATATAGGTATATATGAAAGTGTATAACTTACTTTGCACTTCTGTTAAAAAATTACATGACACAGCATTTCCATAACGCTCCACTTTTCCGATATTGTAAGCAAATAATTCCACAGTATACTTTGTATGAGGTTTCAAGTTTTCTAAAGTATAATGGCTTTGGTTTTTTTCCAGGGACATGCAAATATTTGCTAAAGGAGGAAAAATTCAAGTAAGTCAGCAAAAACAAAGAACTTCACATATTTAATTTATGTTATCATTCCAATCAGGCACCACATTCATGAGTGAAGGAGAAGTCAGTATATTCTTGATGCTCACAATATATCAACAAATCTACTGAACCAATACAATTATATAAATTCAAATGGTCAAAAATTATGTTTTCATTTATTTAATTTGGTACATAAAATATTTATTTTATTTTTGTCCAGTCTCTTTTCTTTCTGAGCAAATATAGCCAGCCCTTTGTAGATATCATTAAATTAAGTCTTGACATGTTAAAATAATTTTTCCTAGCACTTTTCTCTGATAGGTCACATCTCTTTTTGATTAGAATTACTTGCTATCGGTGTGCAGTTTAGATATAGAACCTATATGCTCACCTAGGCTGGATTTATTTTACGGCACTAGTATAAGCACAGGAAATCTTTGGGGCTGAAGAATAGGGGTCAGTTTCAGGCTGGCAGTGGAATTCATGTTATTTGTTGCAGGAATGAAGAGTGAAGTTGAATAGGCTTACAGAGTAAGAGACAACATTACAAAGGAAGGAGAGAGCATTTTAACATTTGAGACAAGCCTGACTAAGATAGCAGATTCTGGTTGGGAAGACACACAAGGTATGTTTAATGTTCAGGAAGACAAGTGAAGGGTAGAATATTAACTAATCATTGATTGTTTTGGAGTGGACAGTAGCATCAGAAATGATGTGCTAAGTCGATATTAGCATGGCAGCATATTGGGGCATAGCAGATACTAGATTGAGAAGACTAATATTGTCAATAATACCAGTAATGACAAAAAATTAATAACTCACTCTACATACAAAGGATTCAAGTACATGCTGTACATGAATTATCTACGTTAAACATAACCACAACCCCTATAGGTTGGCACTAAGAATATCATCTTATCTTACAGATGGAGAAAACTGAGTCACAGAAAGAGTAAATAATCTGCCTAAGATTTTATCATGAAGGAAGAACAAAGGCAGGTAGAAACTCCCTGAGGTTCCAGAATCCGTATCTCTTTGGTCCTCACTAATGCACACATTGTTTGATGAGAGAAGGGCACAAGGCCTGCACTGGGTACCTCCATTGTCTCATTACCTTATTCTTGGAAATCCCATTCATATAGTCCAGTTAGATGAGTCTATGGATTTGTAGATGCAAGGAAAGGAAGCTCTAACATCAACTCATTTCTTGTCTCTGATATTTATCCATTAAATGGACGATATTCATATCTCTACCTCACCATGGAATTCTGAACAGTAAGTGAGATAACCAATTATGTCCTGTAAAGAGTATTCCTAATGAGGATACTCTCAGGGCAGGAAAGGTGTGAACTTAACAAAAGGACATGTTATCTGCCAAACTCTTATATAGGGGTTGACTTCTGGGAGGGTGCCCAACTAGATGCTAGAACCCAGTCAAAGCCACAGAATGCTATTCTCAAGATCAGTATGGTTCATTTCAGTGTGACCCAATGCTATATAATGTATATGCAATTTCAATGTGGTATTCAATTAATGTAGTTGAATGAAGTTTCCATTTTAGCCAACCTGATTTAGAGTCCGTTTACTGGTTTTATTTGTGTAGATGTTGTTGTTTGGAGAATGTTTTATCTAGTAATTAAGGAACATGTGCAGCATTTAGAAATGTGATGCTTCAAATGAACACTGTTCTCTATGTTTTAATACTTACTCTCAGTACATTTGCTTCAGAAGTTCAGGTTGTATGTGACAAGTTGTTTTTATTTGACAACGTCTTGAAATATTCTTCCACCCCCTTGAAGCAACAGGAGTAGGGAGTCTTCAAGCCAAGTGCGTTGCTGGTATTGACTGGAAAACCCTCACCTTCCCACTTGTCTCCCTTTGTGCTTTAGGAAATATCTCAGGAAATCTCTAACAAATCTTTTACCTGGACTTACTCTAAAGCATTTTGAACACTATTTAAAATAGTATATACCTACTGATTGTCAAAGGATTTTGTGCTGCTTTAAAAAAAAAAACAACCTAGCTTTTCTCTGAAAAAAAAAAAGCCATTGCTCAAAATAATTTCCAGCTTCGTCATAGCAATTTTGAAGGATGCATATTAAATTTAATAGCTTTTGAAAAATAGTTTTGAATGCAGCAAAGAGTAAACGTTTTTTCCTTCAGTCATCAAGGCTCTTCAGTGTCGCTTGACTCATTAAGCAGCACAATACTGCAGTGTTCCAGGGACCTTGTGCTACAACACGCACAACTCAGTAGGGAAAATTGCACAATTGGAGCTACTGAACTTGAATGTATACCTGAATTACTGTGAGCCTCAGTTTCATCACGTAAGCTATGGAAATAGTTATACCCATCTCAGATTCATTAAATATTCTAATAAAATATTTAAGTAAAAGAATATATAGAAAGACTAAATAATACCACTTACATTTTCCTTCACTTTTAAATGTAATCCCTAGCCTTCATAAACAATGAGTAATTGAGACTATTTGGTAAAAAGGTATATAAATTGCAATAATAGTTCATAGATTGTTTCTGTGAATTTTTATTTGTGATTTTATTTTAAATAATAATTGCTTTAACAAGTCTGTAAGGCCCTGAGTTCTCTTGACTTAGGTAAAATAGAAGAGGATCTCATGTAGTGAGCATGTAGTTGGGGTGTATGGGGAGCGGAGCAAAGAGCACTATGTCAAAAGAGTAGGTTATGTTGCAGTGAGAGAATGCATATGATTTGGGGCTGTGGATTCCAAAGAGTCCTTTAAAGCAGAGTTAGTTCTGGATCCAAAGTGGGAGTTGAATACTGTTGCCAATCCATAGTGTTTGGAGAAGATGTGTACAGCCTGATATTGTCCACTACCCCAAGGTCACCATTGCCTTCAAGTGTTGTATTTGGATAGTGGTATAAAACATAGGCATAATGCTGGAAAACGTATATGAGCATTATCTCATACTACTTTATTTTATTTCTCCAAGAGTTTGATGTGCCAACATGGGGACAAGGAAGAGAAGCAAATATTATGGATGTTCTGAATCTTAGCCATTTCAGAGGATGGAGAAGCTGTAGTGAGTGAAGCAACTCTAAATTCAAAGCCTACAGAATTTATATCACGTCATACATGTAGAAGGTTCCTTAGCTCAAGGACTGAGTCCACATTTCTATACTCTCAAATTCTTCATTTTCCTTTACACTATCAATTAAATTCTATACATATATATTACCTGAGGCATTTGAATAGCAAAACTTAAATTTATGAAAATCACTTTCAGGGTCCTCCCAGGTAATTTCTTCTTTCTTTGTCCTTCCTGATTTTGGACAAGTAAGATTCTGAGGTTCTCCTGGAGCTGTTTTTTAAAAATCAGAATATTAAAAATAAGACATGGAGAAAGCATTCTCTAAAAGTATGGACTGTTAATAGCCACATTTTGATTAAGCATTAGTTTGTTATCAAATTGAAAGGAAGGCATCCGGGTTGATTGGATTTTTGTTAGAGGCCATTTAGCAGAGTAATTGTCACTGCAGAGTATCCTTGTGGCACCTGAGTAGTCCATGGGCTACTTAGGTAGATGAGACTGGCCCATTTCTTGGTATAAAGCATTACCCAGATAGCCTGCGATTTCTCTGGAAGGAAAATCTGGCCTTTGTACTTCTAAGGAGTTTAGCAATCAGTGATAAGAGAAGCAGTTTCATTGCTTCCAGTAATTAGTCATCAGACCCTGAGAGAAAACTGAAATTCATTTTTATACCAAATTTAGAGGAGTAATTATAGTACATTAAAATGCACCCACTTACAGAAAAGTTTGAGTTTTGAAACATGTATATTTTCCATGTAGCCACCACCACAACCAACATAGAGAACGTTTGTGTCACCCGTGTCCCCTACCACTCCCTTGCCAACTCATCGCCCTAACCCAGTCCCGCACAGTGTCAGATCTGCTTTCTATTTCTCTTGAGCAAATGTGTCCTTTCATTCATTTAATGAACATGATACCAAGCAGTAAGCACTTTTTATATACAGCATATGACACTCAGGAAAAGTTGTAGAGATCCATGCATGTCGCTGCATGTTCATCTTGACAGGTGGGCCGTTAGTATTCCACTGGGAGAAACACACCTGATCCGGTGCCCTCTTCATCATGGTTGGTCTCTTTGAGTCTATTGTTAATTGTTTGTCTCCATTCACCCGACTGAGGGCTTCCACCACGTTCACTAACCCTGTATTTCACCAATTATGATGTTCCATTCAGGCTACTGCTCTTTTCTGACGTGCCTTCTTGGGGAATCGGTTGTTGAATTTTTGTTGCTATTGATTTTGTTCTGTTCTTTGTGGTAGGCAGACTTCTGCAAGTGGTCCCCGAGATCCCACACCCTTGTGCCTGAAAGCTGTGACTGTGAGGAGGTATGACTCCCTGATTGTGCTAGTTTATATGCACAGTGGACCTTAAGACAGGGAGATGGGTTGTGCCTAACATGCGTGAGCAGAACCGCATTGCGGGAGCTCCTTTGAAAGCACGAGGTCTTCTCTGGCTGCCGACAGAAGATGGAAGCCTGAGGTGGGCACTGTGCACCACTGCTAGATGGGCGAGGGAAGGGGTCAGGAGAAGAAATGCAGCTTCTAGGAAGAAAGAGGGCCCCTGATTAGGAGCCAGCAAGAAAAGAGAGACCAAGATGTACGTTCAGTACCAGACCGGGGCTCCAGATGGAAACCTCAACTCTTACCACCGACAGAACTGGGAGCTAATACACAGGTCTGGTTGTTGAGCTGCTTACGTGTGTGGCAATTCATCACGAAAGGAATCGAAGTCTGAGTAGTTTGATTTTGTTGAGATTCCCGCAGGATATTTTTAGTCAACAGACTTCCGTATGCCTTCATTCATTGGGCATTTTAAACTTACATATGTTCCTATTTCTGCTCCATCTTATCTGAATGTTTTCTTTGGCGATTACTGATTAGATTTGTATTGGGAATTTGGATTTCCACAACTCTGAACACTTTCTTCATCATCTCAGAACGTTGCTGTGCTGTGTTGTTGGCACGGTGGCTAAGCGTTCCGCAGCTGGCCTCAAGGCTGGTTGTTTGAAACCACGAGCTGCTCTCTGGGAGAAGGACGTGTCCGTCTGCTTCCACAGAGATGGCAGCCTGGGAGGATCTCTGGGAGCAGATACGTCCGCCGTCCAGGGTCTCTCTGAACTGGAACCCACAATAACAATGGGTTTGATTCTGCATTCAGGGAGGTCCCCTTCTGTTTGGTATTCTTGTTCCTCGACTCATTCTGACACATATTCAACATGCTATTTAGTTCCTTTATTGAGTTCTCTTTTATGGCTGTATTTTATGTTTACAGTTTTAAAAATAGTTTATCATAATCACTTGCAAATGTTTTATAAGACTCTCCTTTTTTCTAAGTCTATTCTTGTTCCTAGGTTTCTAATGACTGATTTTTACATGAAAAGGATAGTATATTGAATATTCAATTCACATTATTGAAATTGGAAATCCTTTTTTTGGTGTATGACGATTCATTTGTTTGTAGTTATGGCAGTTGGATTAATCTATTGAGTGAGGAAATCCTGTCTATTCTATTTGCTCTTAATTGTATCAAGAATAGTACAATGTCTCAGATAATCTACCTACTCTGATGTGCATGCCTGCACTTGAGATTGAAGATGGTTTTCTTCTTACGTTTGGGATATCAGACACGTTCAATTCTGAGTTGGTCATAGCTAACTTCCTCCAGACAATTACACCAAAGTGAAGTGCAGAGCTCCATAGAAGTGGAATCTGATGGAGGAGCAGGAGAACATCAAGATGAGGACGATGCCACAGGAAGAAGGAGGCTAGGCAATGGGGCTTCGGTGAGCAAAACCATTCTTATTCGTAACACAGTTTCCTCTCCCACATGTCCTCACAATAGTGTACAGTTCTCAAATAAATTGTCAGAGATTTGAAGCCTATGTAACTCAATTTACATTCAATTTAAAACTTGTCTAAAAATATTTTCTGAAATTCTTCCTCTAAATCAGCAGTTCTCAACCTGTGGGTTGTGACCCCTTAGGAGGACAAACAACCCTTTGACAGGGGTTGACCGATTCAGAACAGTAGCAAAATTATAGTTATGAAGTAGCAACGAAAATAATTTATGGTTGGGGGAGGTCACCACCACATGAGAACTGTATGAAAGGGTTGCAGCATGAGGAAAGCTGAGAACCCCTGCTGCGAGCCTTTGCCATCATTTTCTGTGATTCCCCAAGACGTTATAAAAGCATTAGGAAGGAAGCAATTTTCATATAAATGTAAATAATATACTTACTCCCAAAATCAGTTGTGATAGATTTTGTTTTATTGATGAGTTGATGTTGTTGATAAAACACTTTTGAATCACAAGTATAAGTAGTTTGGGGGGTAAGGTTGGACAGGTGAATGAATTTCTCATGTGATGATTCATTACCTGAAAGGAATAAGGCATACAGTTGCATATATTAGCACAATGCATCCTATTCAGATGAAAACCTAAAAATATGAATAATTAAATATTCTGAAGACTCTGAAATTATTCATTTTTTGGTATTCAATAGTTAAGGGCAGATCTAGCAAATATTTCTAAAACAGTTTATGCTGCTTTAATTGACCGAGGATTGATGCATTAGTTCCATCAAATTATGTTAAAAACAGAGACTGCCTGAGTTAATATTTACATAACAGATTTTCTAGATGGACTATTGTTTCGTCTTCACTGTCCCATATCTCCCCCTTCATGTGAAGACTGCAACCATGGTCACTACCATCCTGTGTGTGTAACTCGCCAAATATGCTGAGAGGTGTGAGATCCCACCTTCTTAAATTCAAATACACTAAGAAAGGCAGTCTCAATGATGGCCTGGCCCTCGTTGAACTCAAACTCGCATTCCTCGACTCAGTTCCTGTACGTTTTCTATTTCGACATTGTCCCGCTGTGTTGGCACTTCCTTATGAACTTAGAGTGGGAGGGCTGACAAAACAGATCCTTGAACCACATTATCTTGGGCTTGTTTCTCTCTAATTCTATAGTATGTGCGTCATCATTTTTCATATAACACGCTTTTCTCATAACATCTCCAATGATGCCTTGTCTATAGCAGCTGCCATGAAAATTCTTGTAGGTTAAGGGATTCCTACTATTCTAAAGCATTGCCAGGAGGAACATTTGTCTATTTTGAGAACTGAATTTTAGGTTGGTGATAAATGATAACTATTGGACCCCCAAAAGGACCAAATGAAAGGGGCTGGGAATAAAAGAAAGAGGAGGAGAGGAAAGGAAGCGTAAAGAGACCCAAAGGAAATTACACAATATCTGGAATAGCTTTATGCCCCTGCCCCTACCCCCCACCCTGCCCATTTATTTTCTGCTCGATGCTTTAGTCTTACCACATCTAAAGCTGTAGGTAGCATTTTTCTCACAGGTAGAATTACTATATTCCCAAACTAAACAGAACGAAACATGTGCGAACTGAGGTTCCGTACACTCGTCCATTATGAAGTTTTCACTCGCTGTCAAGAAATGGAATATGACATGCTTATAATTTCATCATTTTTGTCACCACAATTACAATTACTAAAATTATATCATGATATGGTATTTACCAAGCATTTAAATTGCTTTTGAAAAATTCAAATTTATCCATTTGTCATTTCTTAATTATTTAGTTTTTCTTTTTGTTTTTAAGATTGATACATTTTGATAATGTTTTCATGTAGAATTCATATTACCTTAAAAAATAGAACCCAGGCAAACATTTAGACAAAATATCCATTTTTTCACATTTAAAAATAGTAATTCCATTTTGTCTTATTATCTCTATTTTCATTTTTCTTTCACTTATAACTGAATGATTACTATACATAGAATTGAGGGTTTTTCTCATGGGAAATGCAATTTTTATCTTATCACTTTATTTGTGTCCTTGATTTATTCCTGGAGCATCTATAGAAAGTGAAACACTTAACCGGGCTCCCCTCCCCACCCCCAAAGGGAAAGAGAAAAACACCTGTCAGATTCTAACTTATTTAGATAGCAGTCAGTTGGTCAAGGGTGTTGAATTACAAAATGATGAGAAATATGGAAGTTATACAACCCTTAAATCCCCTTTTTAAAATGCATTTTGCTAAGATAAAGTTCGCTGGTTTATGCATCAGTGAAATCTGACTCTTTTTGTCCCCAGTAGTAGCTCAGTTGACAACCATCTGGATCGCCTTAACCTGAGTACAACCCCCAAACAATCAAACTCACTGCCATCGAGTCGGTTCCGCCCCATAGTGACCCTATAGGTCAGGGTAGACCTGCCCTGTGGGTTTCTGAGACTGTACAAAGCCTTGCCTTTCTCCCACAGAACGAGCAGCTGGTGGTTTCAAACTGCATACTCTGCGAGTAGCAAGCCAACGCATAACTCTCCTTTCTGTGAAACCATTTTGTTTTTTCCCCATAAACACCACATCCTTGACTTAATGTCTTTCTTTTACACTATTCCAAACTTACATTTAAAAGAATGACGCTATGTACACATGTATTTCAAACGTATTAAATAAAAGAGAAACTGTCTGAATGGGATATCGAATATGGGGAGAAGACCTGAGGGATAAAAACAGAAGGCTTAGAGTGGCTTGACATTGGTGCTGGGTTCATAACCTTCACCCTTCTTCTGGTGACCACTAGAACACCACATACATGAACTGTTTCACGATATTTACCTGGTGGTACATCCAATGTGAAAGCTTTAAATGGGGCAACACAGGAATCATCATATATATTAACAGAGATATATGTACAAGCCGTTAGGTTTTTACAGCTAGGTTCGCACTTCCCTGCAGGTGTTAGGGTTGCACTGTATCGATTGGTTATTTTGTCATACGAGTAGTCCACAGAAACCGTTTCATATTTTTTATCTGTATGGAGAAATAAGAGGATTTTCTATTATTTTCCAAATGGATCAATATCTATTAAATGTAAATTGTTCAACTTATAGTTTCAAAAATATGAACTCATTAATAAAATATGAAAAATAGAAGAAATACATCAGGTCCCTCGAGGCATTTATTTTTCAGTTTCCCTAAGCAATGTCCCCAGCTGGCAAGTGTCTATTTGGATGATCTGGGAGTGAATATCTGTCTTCTTAAATGGATTGTAATTCTTAAGGGTCAAATTCCATTTTTTTTGCTCCCCATGAGCCCAGTTACTTATAATGTACCTATCAATAGTAAAAGCTAAGCAATTACTTGTTGAATGATACACAAATGAATCTGACAAGTTGTTCTTACTTTATAATTTCCCTTTCTCTATAAAATGGAATTAATTATGTTTCTCCAAAAATATGGAACATTCATTGTTCCCAGACCACAAACTCTCCATCTCCTTGACTATTTTGAGAGTACTTCTGATAATATATTTCTAAGAACCTTTCCTTAGTTACATCTCACACTCTCACCTCCAGTTAAACAATTTTCACTCACTGTTAAAATATGCATTTTCAACATCTGTTATTTTACATATTTTTTAATTCAATAAAAAATGTTTAAGCCCTTCCTTTGTTTAAGACTCTGCATGGAGCACTAAGAACATTCATAGGAATCAAACATGGTCATAGCTTTTGGAAATACGTAGTCTAACAGGAAAGACGGACAAACATGAACTCCAGAAGACAAGGTAATGTCTAGGACAGCATTTTGCACAATAACCCATGAAAATAAAGAGAAAAACAGCTTATTCATATTGAAAAACTAAAAGGAGAAATTTAAGAGTGGACGACTCACTTTCCGTTCTCAAATATGTGCAAACGGATTGACGTGGAGTCTATGCCAATTCCTAGCAACCTGCTGAGCCGAACTGCCCCCACAGACACTCTCGTCCCACAGACATGTTAAAGACAGAGAGACAGGAAGGGGTAGTATGTGTCTGGTAACCCATAAGAAAGCCCATGGCTGCAAAAGTGAAGAGCATTTTGAGGCAATAAATCCAGAAGAGAGGTATAGGAGAGCCCGTCACATAAAGCCATATTGATAGAATAGGCATATGAAGACCGTTCATCACACAAACTTCATGGAGAGCTACTAAAGGGAGTGACCAATTCCTAACAGACATATGGAGAACATCTTAGATGGGGAAGGAGTAGAAGCAGAGGATGATTTAAATAAATAAAGGGGTAAGTCAAAAAGTATTGATATAACCCCCTAGCAACCTTTATTGAACAAAACTCTCAAAGCGTGAGGCGATTGTTTCTCAACTGATCCTCCAACGATGTCTTGGCACTTCTGAAGGTCGTATTCCATCCCCAAAGAAGGCTACATTCTCCAATTCACGCTGTGCCAAACCAGCAACGCTGACATCCTCGGGGGACCCCTATCGTGTTCCTTTAAAAGGCTATTTAAGTTGGGGAGACAAAAAGATGTCTGAAGGAGCAAGATTAGGGCTGTAGGGTGGATGAGGGAAGGTTTTGAAGTGGCATTCTCCAAGGACAGCCCCTTACTGGGAAGAAATAACATGTGAAAGCACTTCTTTCCTGATCTTTCCTCATCAGTTCAGCTGTAAATGATCTTTAAATGTCATAACAAGCCCCCCCGGAATATCCTGTGTCCTTCTAGGAAAAAAGTCAAGGTCACGCCTTTCTAATCCAAAAGAGAGTGCCCAGAACTGCTGACTGACCTCTATGCCTTGAATTTCACGAACTCGGTAGATAGCTTCTGAAGCCCTATCCTTTATTTTAAGTTTTACTGACATATAACTCATGTATCATGCTATGCAATGGTCAAAATACATCAAAATATACCACAATCAATTTTAGAACAGTTTATTCATTCTTGCATCCATTATTATTAGCTACTCATTTTCCCTTGACCTCCCCTGTCATAATCCTAAGACCCTCTTAGTCAACTTGCTGTTTCCCTGGGTTTGCCTATCCTGAATTCAAACAAAGAAAACCATACAAAACAAACCCAACAACAACAAAAAATGGAAGCACAGAAAAACCTCAGTCCCCCAAATGCAGATAATAATAATAGAAGAAGTGAAAAATGGGTCAAAAAATAAAACAACTGATATGATGTTAAATTTTAACATAAACTATATCTGCAATACATTTTAACCTATAACTATATCTGCAATAATATAGTTATTATTATATTGCAACTATATCTGTGATCCATTTTCCAATGCATTGTCTGAGGACAAGCCTAGTGATACACCCTTGGTCAATAAATAAAAACAAGACTTCGCTGCCATCAAGTCAATGGTGACTCACAGGGACCCCCCTATAATTATTTATAGGAGTAGAAACACCCATATTGTCCTGCAGAACAGCTGGTGGTTTTGAACTGCTGACCTTGTGGATAACAATCCAATGCGTAACCATGATGCCATCCTTAATCAATAGACAGAGGGAATCCAATACAGTCTTAATCCATGTAGTGGCTCTATCAATGGATTTGGGGCTATCACTGTCATTCATAGCCTTCTGCAAAACATGTGCTCAGATTCTAAGCTATAATTCAGCTCCCCTTGGATAATGGATTTTATTATTAGAATTTTTTTATCACATTAACTGATGTGATTCTTCCATGAGGACTTAGTTGATATCTCACTTAGATGACTGCTTGTTTTAAGACAAGCCTTTAAGGCCCCAGATACCATCCTTTCTTGTAGCAGGCTGGGGTAGTTAGTTTATTGTGCCACCCTGGCCGATTAAACACATGTGTGGTTGATTGAAGGGTGGAGGGATAAATGGCTCAGTGAGCCTCGCCTTTCTAGTTGTCGGATCTCTTGCTCTCTGATGGTCGGACCAAGATGCAGCTGCCTTAGCCAGTTCCCTGCTTCCGCTGGCAAGGCTCCCTTCCTTCAAGACATCCCCAAGGAGAAGCTGCATGAACCTATTCCGATGCAGCCGTGGGTGCTGGAGCAGCCGTGTGGAGACTCCTGCCAGCACTGAGATGCTTACACATTCACTGACTTGGCTTTCCTCCTGCAGTTGGCATCATTGTGTGTGTTTTGTGAGATGGCGGAGGACTTTGTGGATTGGTGTCGGACATATGTGTTATTGGGTTAATGTTGGGCATGTGGGCTTGGGCAGCACTGGGTTGAGATGTTTTCTTGAGGCACACTTAACTTTTATATAAAACTCTCTCTTATATATGAGTTTCTGTGGATTTGTTTCTTTAAAGTACCCAGACTAACATATAGGCAAACATCTTTTTTCTTCACCACACTTTGCTGTAGCATCCATATCTTCAGTGATCACTTTATGAAGGCAAGCATCAAGCAGGGCCACATCATAAGAAAGAATTGTTTTTAGATTGCAGGTTGATTAGGTGTGGGGTCAACCTCCATTTATATATCTGCAGTTTCTATATATCCCTGATCAACTTTTGAGGCAGTCTTATAAATTTCTTGGTAAATAATATAAATAACCTCCATGGAATATTTGCTAATTCTAATAATATTATAATTAATCTAGTCAATGGTATAGAATTTAAATGCTACTGAGAAAGGGGGAACATACATATATAGGAATAGTTTTAGACTAAAATACATATCATGTTCACTTATACAGACTCAAAATTTAAGTGACTGAAAACTGATTTAAGAAAACCCCATGGAATGGACACTGGGGGAAAATTTCAAGAGAGCTCCTTGACTAAAGCAAACTATCCCTGCAGGATTAAGCAACGTCAAACAAAGCAAAGTGAGTAAGAAAATAGTAACAAGATGACAGTCTTAAGTTGCCAAATCTTGTGCAACCTAAAAGCAAAGATTTGAACCAAAGTCCACTGACTTCCCAACCCACAACCTTGGGATAGCAGTCCTCTGGGTCTTCTCACATTAGGTAGGGCCTTTCAACCTGTGGCCCCCAAAAGTATGTCAGTTCCTTTAATTTGCAACAGGTGGACTAATGTAAACTCTGTTTTACTTAGTGAAGCTTCCAAGTCAG